CCCCAAAACCCCAAAACCCCAAAACCCCATCATTCCATTTGGCTCATTATTTAGAGAATGATGATAAAACTAAAATATATTTAATTAGAGAGTTCTATAAAGTATTTAATCCAGTAATTAATATTTTTAAATAATTTTAAACTTAACTAACTGAGTTAGTCAGATAATTTTATAATGAGTCTTAGCAAAGCTTTAGATATACTAGGGATTTAGTCTCTATTCTTTTTAATTTCTTAGGTTCCTTTAACCTCTGGTTATAATATTTGCAATCCAAATGGAATTTTAGAGCCTGGTGAAGAGTGTGATACTTGGCAGGCTGGATCTAATTAAAATCAAGGGTAAGATTCATTCTTATCTTAAACAATAATTAACAGATGCAATCATAATTGCAAAATAAAAGACGGATTTTTATGTGAAAATACTCTAGAAAGTATTTCGAAATGCTCTATATTTTGTGATTGAAAGGATTCTATATTTTCTTGTATTGATGGGAACAATATTTCAGGAGACGGGTAAGCTAACTAGCTTTTAAATATATATCTCTTAAATATTAGCATTCGAATTAATTTGTAATATAGTTGTGATGAATATTGCCAGGTAGAGAAAGGATTTGTTTGTACTTTACAAGGAAATTCAGCGTTAAATTGTCAGAAGATTAATCAACCAAAAAATTTTGAAATCCAAATGAGAATCTGCGGAAATGGTATTTTAGAAAATTTAGAAGAGTGCGACAATGGAAATAATACGCCTAATGATGGGTATGAATTCTAAATTATTACATTCTAATAGTTGCGATGAATTCTGCTAAATTCAAGCTGGATACACTGTGATTATAAGTGAAGTCAATGAATAATTAATTCAGAAGTACTGTAGTCAAAATTAGGGCCTTTGTATGGATAAAAATCTACAGAATGGAGATGGATGTGACAAAAATTGCTTTACAGAAGATAAAAAATATTGTATATATGAAGCAATCAGAAAAGAGTTCAAGTGCTATGATAGAATGGTAATTATTAAAATATTTCAAACTTACATTAGGCTGAAAAAGATTAAGCTTCCAAAGTAATTATTGAGAATCAAAACAAGTGCATAAAAAATAGTCATTTAACTAATCAAGAAGAGTGTGATGATGGAGATATAACTCATTCTGGAGGGTATATAGATTAATGTATTTATGTTCATTTATAGTTGTGACTCTCATTGCAGAATTAAGTCTGGTTATACTTGTCAAACAATATCTGGAACCTACTCTATTTGTTTTGAAAATTGTGCATATATTGGATAATAATGTCTTGATCAAAACAAGCAAAATAACGATGGGTTAGATTATATTTATTAAAACTTTTATAGATGTGACTCATTTTGCAGAGTAGAAAATGGCTATGGATGCTAATTAAATTATTAAGAAGGCTTTAATAATTATGAATTCTAGTGTAAATACTAGAATAGCGAGTAAGGAAAGATAGTAAATAAAGTGCATGACTCTTCTCAAAGGGAGGCTTGTAAAAATTAAACATTTAAAATTTTAGTGTACTAATCAGTGAAACCAAATATCTATTAAATTGACAAAGTAGAAAATAAGCAATTTTAAGAAGTAGATATACAGAGTGAATAAACTAAATTCCTCAGTGAAACAAATAAGAGAAGTATAAACAATAAATTCAATCTTTTAAGCACTAAATGCAAGAATGGTAAACTTGAATTTGGGGAGTAGTGTGATGATGGTAAAGAAGACTCTAATTCGTACTTTTTCTCATTTTTATATAACCCACTACAGATGTGATCATTAATGCAAAGTAAGAAACGGATATCTTTCTTCAACGGATGACTATGGTTTAACTTCAACTCTGAGTTAATTCTGTTTTGGAATAGAACTGAACACGTGTCTTGATAATAACTACAATGATGGTGATGGGTAAAATGATGTTCTCATAATTTATTATAGTTGTGATTCTTAGTGTCAAATAGAACAGGACTATATATGTCTAAAAGATAAAATCTCATTTTAGTGTATTAAATAAACATTACTTCCATCGACTGTATTTAACTTTGGATTTAATTTTTAAATTTTAAGGTCACCTTATAAACTAAACTAACTGATGCCACTAATTTAAACACATAGTGCAACAAAAATGATATGATGATTAGTGCAGGAGAAGAATGCGACGATGGAGACTTAAGCAACTTGGGAGGGTAAGAAAATTCAAATTTATATTTCCTTATGATTTTAGTTGCGATTAAGATTGCAAGATTAAAGAGGGCTGGACATGTATTTAAACATCCTTGGGCATTTCTTAATGCATTTAATCTTGCTTAGAATATGGCCTTCATTGTATGGACAATAACTAATTTGATGGCGATGGGTAAGGATTATACATTTAAATACTTGGTTTCATAGATGTAATAAAGATTGCTAAGTAGAACTTGGATATCATTGTCAATATCAATTAGATGATTATGATTCTACTGAATTCATCTGTACTCAATAATTAAAAGTTCTGGAAAATGAAGAAGTAACAAGCAATTAAAAATAATAGAGATTCTTATCTGAGGCAACAACATCAAATTCAATATGCATTCTGAACAGCGTGGTAGAATTTGGCGAGGAATGTGACGAAGGTACTGCTACAACTAAGTAAGTTAGTACTTATCTCAACTTTTTTAGCTGCGATGATAACTGTAGGATACCTACCTCATCACAAAATCTAATCATCGCTGATCTTGGAAGAAAATCAGAAAGCTAATTGAAATGTTAAAGACTAGGAATGCCATTTTGCTATGACATTAATGCTAATAATAATGATGGGTAAAGCTTAAAGTTCATTAAACCTTGTAGATGTAGCAGTGCTTGCTTGATTGAAACCGGATATGTCTGCTCTATTGCAACTTACAAAAACCTTTTATATTACAACTGCGTTGACGGGAACACTAGATATGTAAGTATATCTCAAATAAATAGCATTTTAATGTAGGTCTCTCCGATACCTAAAGCTAATTCACCAGCAACAACTTAATCAACCGCTAATGCTCAATGCGTAAAGGACTCTTAAGTTGCTTATGGAGAGGAATGCGATGATGGGGATACGTTAGGTCAAGGAGGGTAAGCTTAATATCAATGATAAACTTCAATAGATGTGATGTTAACTGCAGAATAAAGTATTCATGGACCTGTCTTAATCCTAATGATGGTAGTAAATCAAGATGTTACCAGTCCTGCCTAAAATCTGGTACAATTTGCCTTGATTTGAACAAACAAGATGATGATGGGTAAGGAAAAGATCAAGAATTATAATGACATTTAGTTGTGACAAGTATTGCAGAGTCGAGCCAGGATATAGATGTTCAGCCAAGTTTACAGGACTTACCTTTACGGATTTCGCTTGCTTCTCTGATTATGTTACTACAGCTCCTACTACATCTACTACTACATCTCCTACTACATCTCCTGAGAGTTCGACTACTCAGCCAACATCCACAACGGTGTAATCAACAACTTCAGCAGCCACAACTTCTCCTGCTTAGTCTACTGTATACAATTTTTAGAAATCTTTAATTAATTATAAACATTTATTTATAGACTACCCCTAAACCATAAACTACAACTGCTACTACCACAACAACAACTACAACAACTCAATCTGTAGCAGTTAAAGAATGCAAATCTGTGATCAGTGCTTTTGACATTACTGACTAATAATTTACTAATGGGGAGGGAGAAGTGGTGTAATGTAAAGGAATGACTTTATGTCCAGATGGATCAAGCCCACCATGCTCATGGAAGAGGAAAATAGTGACTGGATGCCTTAATGATGATACAAATTCATAAGGTAGAGATCTTTAATCTTTAGGAGGAAATGCGCAATTAAGAATATAAACAAATTCTTTGCCAAATCATTGCTTTACATCAAATTCTGCAGCAAAATAGAATCAAATTGACTTCTAAGTCTAGTTTAAGAATAAAAGATAAATTGGAAGAATGTTAGAAGACTTAAACGATGAGAGTACTTAAAATTATATGTTTAGAGGTGATAATCAGAACAGTGTTAACATGGCCTTATGCGATGATTCTTGGACGCAAGCAGGATATATCTTACAAGTGAATCCCAGCTATATTGAATACTCAGGAGATTTCAGCAGTATCGTTGGAATTGCACTAAACGGTGTTCCTATTCATACTGGTAATTCTGAGTATGGCTCTGATGTATTCCATCCAAAGAAGTTCGGTACAAAATATAATTCCTATAAATAAATCAAACTTGATAATTGCCTTGGAAGCTCAGAGATATCAGGATTTTATCACTACTATGGTTGGTCTCCTTGTATTCTTCCATCTGGACCTATTAAGGCTAGAGATGCCTAAGAATGCGATAATGTACCAGAATGCAAATAAGATATGCTGGCATACTCCTTATCTTTTATGAAGTATCAAGAAAAGACTATTATGGTGATTGGAATCGCAAGAGATGGTCATTCGATCTTAGGGCCTTATAGAAGTGATGGAACTTTATGGTAACCGTGTGATGTTGATTTATGTAATGGAATAGAAATAGCAGGGATTTATTACTACGTAACAACAATGTTCCATCCTTATACTGTTGGATGTTGGGGACCTGGACCTCGTAAAACTATTTCTTAGGAGTGCTCTAATAATGTGAAGATGTGCTCAAGCAGCATAACTTTGAGTATATGGACAGGAACAGTTACAATTATTTCCATCTTTGTTTTCTCGATATTAATTTGATTACTTAAATTTAATTTAATTCTTGAAACTTCCTAACTTAAGATGATGTTATAATTATTAAGATATAATTATTATTTTGATTTCATTTTTAATTCTATCACTGTTAATTTTTATACAAATTCTAATCTAGCGGGGTTTTGGGGTTTTGGGGTTTTGGGG